GAGACCAGTCTAAAGTAAGGTTACAGTTAGAGACTAGCTCAGTGTAAGGTTACTGTTAGAGACCAGCTTAATGTAAGGTTACTGTTAGAGACCAGCTCAGTGCAAGGTTACTGTTAGGGACCAGCTCAATATAAGGTTACTGTTGGGGACCAGCTTAATGTAAGGTTACTGTTAGAGACTAGCTCAATGTAAGGTTACTGTTATAGACTAGCTCAGTGTAAGGTTACTGTTAGAGATCAGCTTAATGTAAGGTTACTGTTAGGGACCAGTCTAAAATAAGGTTACAGTTAGAGACCAGCTCAATGTAAGCTAACTGATAGGGACCAGCTCAATGTAAGGTTACTGTCTGAGACCAGCTCAATGTAAGGTTACTGTTAGGGACCTGCTCAATGTAAGGTTACTGTCTGAGACCAGCTCAGTGTAAGGTTCCTGTCTGAGACTAGCTCAATGTAAGCTAACTGTTAGGGACCAGCTCAATGTAAGGTTCCTGTCTGAGACCAGCTCAATGTAAGGTTACTGTTAGGGATCAGCTCAATGTAAGGTTCCTGTCTGAGACTAGCTCAATGTAAGCTAACTGTTAGGGACCAGCTAAATGTAAGGTTACTGTCTGAGACTAGCTCAATGTAAGGTTACTGTTAGGGACCTGCTCAATGTAAGGTTACTGTCTGAGACTAGCTCAATGTAAGGTTCCTGTCTGAGACTAGCTTAATGTAAGGTTAGTGTTAGGGACAATCTCAATGTAAGGTTACTGTTGGGGGCCAGCTTAATATAAGGTTAGTGTTAGAGACCAGCTTAATGTAAGGTTAGTGTTAGGGACAATCTCAATGTAAGATTACTATTGGGGGCCAGCTTAATATAAGGTTAGTGATCATTATAAGTAAATGAAAATGGATTATATCACAGCAGGACATATGCAGTTAGAAATAGATGATAATGTAACGTTGGTGGGTCATACAGAGTCAGTAGTTGTAACATTACTAGGATGTATTATTTCTTTGTATTTAGGGTTTGATTATATTATATATCACCTACAGATTCCAGTGTAAGGAATGTACTTGCCATGTATAGCTGTCACACGAGCAATATTAATGTAGTAGTACATATTGTGTATATTTCTCATATCATGATTAAATCAATGTTTTCCTCTGTGCTACAGGTGATAGTTGGATATCCACCAACCAAAAATCTTTCATCAGAAGAACAAGATCTCCTTTGGAAATTCAGATACTACCTGTCTAATCAGAAAAAGGTGTGCGTTTGTTTTTTGACTAACCGATTCACCAAACGTGAGTTATAAGCCAATAGTTTGAACGCATGCCTATGTTTATGCCTATATACACCATATAATAGTATGGCAGCGATGCATAGCAACACAATCACGCACACGCACACACACATGCACGCACGCACTCACGCACGCGCACACACGCACACACACACACGCACGCATGCACACGCACACACACACACACACACACACACACACACACACACACACACACACACACACACACACACACACCA